GAGCTCCTTGATTTTGACATGGGCTGACCAGACAGACAAATTTAAAAGTTCTGTGCTTTTTCCCTTCTCTAAAGCTAATGGTAAAGGCCATTGTACAGAATAAGAAAGTAACACATCAGTCTCTACCTTGACAATGCCCATGGCTCCTAAAAAAAAAAAAAATTCTTCCTCTTTCTCCTCCATTAGGACAAACAAAAACTTATTTGAACTGGGCATCCTAACATGACATTGAAGGAATGATGACCTACTGTAACTAACAACACATACTCCACATCTGTCCAAGCCTCATTGCTAAGCAACAAACAAGGGCTGAAACAATCATTATGTTCACTCTCTTAAAAGGCAGAATGCCATCCTCCAGGTAGAGGCATGATAAATGACTACTCTTCTCCTCTTCCACTACATGAATACCTATTATAAGCTCAGTTATCCAGAAAATCATGCTCAGAGGACTCTGTAATTCAGGGCTGCAGAAGTTTCTGCAGAGTAATTCCCACTTACGCAGAACTGTTTGGCAGGACATCAGCATCCACCAAAAAAATACAATCCTAGTCTTGACAGGATACACATCTCTTCAAAAAGCATAAACTGCATCTATACTGAGGCACCACCTGATAACTTAACCAGGAGCTTGGACTTCGAAGAAATTTGTTTCATCTCTCTCATCTCAGCTTGATTACTGGGCTCTATAACTCCAGAACCTAATTTCTGGCACTCAAAAAAAAAAAAATAAAAAAATTTAAGAAATCCAAGAATTTACTGTTTTGCTGCAACTCAAACAGCCACCCTTTGTTTTGTTTACCTTTCCTGCTGCCTCAGTCTGAAAATTTCACCATATTAAAGGAATGCACTGGACTGGAATGCATGATATTAAGGAACGTACTGAGCTTATCTGAACAGTTTTGAATGGGGTAAAGCAGAAGATGACAGAAAAGCAAAATCTAGAATCCAATTGTGAAATGTGGGGAGATGGAGGGTTAGACTGACAAGGTAATTCACCTGAAGAAAAGTTCTGTAGTGGTTACCTGGAAAGACTAGCTAACAGAATTTAGCTGCAAGATCCATCTTTCCAGATATTCACAAGAAAATTCTACAGAATGTTGCCAAGACAACATAATGGAAACTGAAGACTAGGGACCACACTGTGCTGCTTGGAGACCATATTAATAAACTCTTCTCCTGTGGTAGGAAGTACTTCACTGAAATATATTTCAGTGAGTACACTTAACTATGATTCATATTTTTTGCACTAAGCTCAATTATCTAGTTGTTTTGTTCGTATAGTCCTAATACAAGATCCATATGCCCATTACTCCTATGTGCAATTACATAATAATCATATGTCCTAACAAAAATATTACCAACACAGCAATTGCATGTTTTAGAGTTAAGACACAGAGAAGGAACAAGAACAGTTTTAAAAGTGATACAGTATATTAATGAATTGTGCTACAGAACTTGGGGAATTCCTACCGCACTGTGTCTCAGAGTACCCAAGACTTCATTACAACTTGCACATACTAAAACTTCCTTTATCAGCAGCCATAATACTGTGATTTTTGTCCTCATGCTTGCTGCAGACACCCATTCCTTACTGGATAAAGCAGCTTATTTCCACGAAGACAGAAAAAGTGTCTAGTCTTCTCATAGTTCTGCCTGCTAGTGAGCTGACACTAATGACACAGTGGATTATCTCCAATTTGAACCTCCTACACTTGCATGCTCTGAAACATTGATTCCTATAGTAGAGGAAGAAAATGTCTCTTGACTGATATTTTATGCATGTCAAATTTTATCACTGAATTTTCAGTTTCAGTTCTGTTTCATATGAATTTCCCTATACATCTATGAAGATAGAGTCTCAAAATGTTTCTATTTAGAAATATCAAAAGAAAAAACTCTTTACATCTTATACTTACTATGAAGAAATGGAAATCTGACTCCTTAACATTTTTAAACGTCAAAAGCAATGTGGTAGATTGTAATTTAATTTATTTTTATGACAAAATTCTAAACAGCTAACATGAAAGCAGTAGAAGATGCTTAACACAAGCCTTCAGAGCCTTCATGCTTCCACAGCTTGTCACAACCTCATGGTTGTTACCCTTTTTTTCTTCTAGAATTCAAAGCTGGCTCCAAAACCAAGGTAACCCAAACTCATGTTTATTTGTGTATTGAGGCCTTTCCCAAGGATGTGACACAACAAGTACAATCCAAACCCAAAATGTTTAGGCTATTTCAAATAGATTTGGCAAGGTGCCCTATAATGTACTTAACTGGAATACTGAAGCATCATAAAACATATGTAAATATACCAAGAAAATTTATCTCTCAGCAAGAACATGCCCTATTTTCTAAAACTGAATTTGTAATGGCTTCCTGGATAGCCTGGGGAAAGATACTTGGTCTTTCTCAATTTCATGTCTGCAAGAATGCAATAACTTTACTTACTTCACAGGGGTGTTACAAGAATCAGCTTGTGTTTGCATAACCACTTTGAAGATGAAAACTGCTATTTAAATGCTAAGTGTCATTTGATAGAAATCAGCAAAAACTAACCACCTGCACAAACCCAAAACAAGACTATCCTCTCTCCATGTACAGATGAGCACATAATCTGAAAGTAGTATTCTTTCATCCATTGCCATGTCTTCAAAGAAAACAGCAAGTGCTTATCAGTCCTTACTGCCTTAAATCCTAGTTGTCACCCATTGATCCTGTCACATACATTTCACAGCTTGTAAGATGTGCTTCCTATACATGTAACACAAATATTAACATTTACGGTGTTATTGACACAAAGTTTTAGTCAATCAGTCTTTACAGGTGTAACTGCTTTGAAGTCCCCTAATGGAAGCTTTCTTCTGTTTCAAAGTACTGTTTCAACTCACAGTGATTTAATACACTCCATACATCTTCCAGTGACAAAATGAAAGAAAACCATCTACATTTCTTTGTCCGTACTCATTTGTTTCTAGTTTCAATATATGGCAAAGAACTCAAGAGCTTTGAAGATATCTTAATCAAACTGAACAAGCAACTGCTTTACACAAACATTAATTAACTAGATATTGGAATGCCCTCCTTCTCTTTCTTCTGCTTTAGCCCCAGCTGAAAGAGCCAATGACTAAGACATAACTGCATAAGTAAGAGCTACAGTATTCAGATAAAATTATGACGCCAACATTTCCCACAGTTTTAGTAATGCTCTTGCTTTGGAAGAATGTAGACATACCAAACTGGGGAATAAGTAAGAATTTTCTAGAGTATCAAAGGTCAAAAGCATTTTCATATCTAGGCTTAAGTCATAAACTCTCCATCTCAAGCATAACAAAACAGCAATTTATAAGTTCAGAAACACTTTAATGACCTAATAATTTTGTTATTTTGAATTGAATTTTTTTATTAAAAATCCATTTAAAAACTTACTAGCTCTGCATAAAAAGTTAATTGTCTCGACCTCTTCCCACCAGAAGTGATTAGGGCTTTTTTTTTATTCTGTTATTTTAGTTGTGATTTTAGAGACAGTTAAAAAATTGTTTTATCTGAATGTTCATGTCCTCTATTCTGTCTTTAGTCATGAACCTTGAATATTTCTGATATGAAAGGAAGCAGCCAGTTATCTACTCTGTAAAATATTTCACATTCAGCACCTTACACCTTCAATCTAGTGTACTGAAATCCAGTACTAGAAAAGCCTTTTCCAGCACAGAAATCCACTTTCGACAGTTTTTTACCTAGTGACAGACACAGCTGACTGTGACATAACTCCTTGTTTTTTCACAGTTAAGAGGAGACATTTTGTATTCTGCTCAAAAAGAGGTGACTGAAGAGCAGAAGGGAAAGCTGCTTAGGTCAGCTGCTGAGGCTGCTGTGCTCTGGGACAAGTGAAGCCTTTCAGAGGGAGGAGAATCCACACTCCTCCTTGAGCATTTGAGCATGTTAATCTCAAGGGAAGTTCAGGAACACAGGACAGCGTGGGGAGAAGCATTTCTATTTCATCTCACCAGACCTGACCATTTTCTATTTTAAAACTTATACAAATCTGGTTTATTAGCTTGTATTCTATTAATCACCTGTCCTTTGTCTCGTCAGAAGTCAGGTCAGGAGACACTTGAGAAATTATCAGTGAAGACAGCAGGCAGACCGACATTCATCCTGTTGAGATGTGTATCTGCTGGAGACCTGATCAGGATGAGGCCTGTAGATGAAGCCTTCTTCAAATAAATGGAAGTCGTCTCACATTCACAGGCCCTTGTCCTGATGCAGGACTTTAACCACTTTTGTATCTTCTAGAAGGACAATACAACAGGGCACAAATAATCCAGATTTATGCAGTGTATTGATGACAGCTTCCTGACAAATGTGATCAAGGAGCCAACAAAGAGGGGTGCTCTGCGGGACGTCATACAGATATAGAAGAAATAAATGGTCAGGAGCAGCCTTGGCTGCAGTGACCATGAGACAGTGGAGTTAAGGATTCTGAAAAGAGCAAACAAGGCAAAAGCAAGACCACAGGCCCAGATTTCAAGAAAGCAGACCCTAATATCTTCAGAGACCTGCTCAGAAAAATCCAATAGAATATAGAGGAAAAAAAAAGGTCTCAGGAGAGCTGGCTGCTATTACAGGATCACTTCCTCCAAGCTCGAGAGAATTCCATACTGACAAACATGAAAACAAAAGCAGGAGGCCTGAATGGATGAGAAAGGAGCTCCTGACTTAATAACAATGCAGACACATTTTTATTTTTTTTTAAGAACACAGGTATCAGAAAATAGCTTTTAAAATATATTTAGCTTAAAAAAATGCTGTGCTTTAAATATACCCTGAAGTAACTTTTCTCTTCAAGAAAACATTCTTCCTGCTTGCATTACTTTCATTCTTGCTCCTGCCTATTAAAATGTCCAGGGGAAGACAAACCAGTTCTGCCTGCAGACTCAGGAAATAAGTCTGAAAATATCTTCTCACTGTATCTTACAAACATGTTCTAAAACACTCACCAGTTTGCCACCAGTGGTCCAAGACAGGTACCTTGAAGACCTTTTTTGACCATTCTAGTGTGTCCACATCACAGTGCTCACCAGCTACAAATAATGTTCTGAACCTTTAAATAAAAACAGAAAAGTACATATCTTGATCTGGGTGGGAAAAGGAATACAAGGGAACAAATTCAATTATGTCTCTGGTTGGTGTCCCAGAGAAAGAGGAAAGGGGAAGGAGGACTCTTACTCTTTTTATGTTCCTTCCTACTAAGTAACAATTAGTTTCTTAGCAATATTAAGTTATGCTACTTGATACATCATGTAAAAGGAGCTTTACTTTCTGAATGCAAAGATCTTGGGAGACCAGAAGGAAGCAACTGTCAATGGAAGTAGGTAGACATCCGTTAAGCAAAACGTGAGAAATACTCAGAAGGGGTCAGAAAGAGGTATCACAAAAATTAGTGAAGCAATAAACAGAATAAAAGGATATACCTGTAGCATAACTACTAGTTTTAAGTTCTTAATGATGTTTCATTTAACCAGATTTTAGTATTTTTTGAAGTGTTGACTGATCTTTTTACAGGCCTTTGGAAATGAGTTTTTGGAGAAACAGTGGGATATAAAGCCATTTCCTGCGGGGAGGCAGGCTATGTATATTTCTATATATATAAATACAAAAATAAAGTCATTCTTCCTAGATAATGCCAATATGAACCACATTCAGCAGCCTTGGGTCCCTGATCACAGTTCTAAACTTCAGCTCATTTGATTGGACATCCCACAGGCACCTCTGGCAGAGATGCAGCAATGCAATGGCAGATGCCTGGCAATCCTGACAGATGTGATTTCTGTGTTTGTGCCATTAAATTAGGTAATGCTACATAAATGGGTATTAAACCCACACATGGTCTTTACCTTCAGAATCTTTTATCAAATGTTTAGTCACACTTTATCATCCTTCATTAAGCCCTACAAATTCACTTCACACCCTGTTTAGAATGATAAGGTCCTCTACATCAATGGCAGCTTTCTTAAATATGACTATCAGCACTCAGAAGTTAGAAATCACCATATATTACTGCATGCTGCTAAGGTTATGACCTTTCTAACATTGCACCGTATCTTTATTCTTGTCATTTTTTGTACCTATGTCCTAAGGAGCAATTTAAAACTCTGTTAAATTGCATATAGTGCAGCCCCACTTTTGATACTGTGTACAGTTCTGGGCCCCACAATTTAAGAAGGATGTTAAAGTCCTTGAATGCATCCAGAGAAGGGCAGCAAAGATGGTGAACATGCTGGAAGGAATGTCCTATGAGGATCAGCTGAGGACTTGGGGCTTGCCTAGTTTGGAGAAAACAAGACTGAGGGGCTCATTGCTCTCTACAGCTTCCTGAGGAGAAGTGGGGAGGGAGGTGCTGATTTCTTCTCCCTGGTATCCAGTGAGAAGACACTAATATAATATAAATATTCTATTCCATTGTATTATATTGTCATGGATAATCATGATAGTAGCCAGACACAGTCACTATACTAAAGAGAAGAATCATTTACAAACTTGCCCCCACACCTTCAATAAAGAAATAATCAATCGCCTTTGTGTAGAAACACAGAAATTTTAATTTAAATTCAAAGTCATAAAATGGTTGTCATTGAAAGGGACCTTTAAGGTAATCTAGTTCCATCCCCCTGCCATAAGCAGGGACACCTCTCACTAGATGAGGTTGCTCAAAGCGCCATCCAGCCTGGCCTTGAAACACTTCCAGGGAGGAGGCAACCACAACTTCCAACTGTGCCAGTGTCTCAACACCCTTACACTAAAGAATTTCTTCCTAATGTCTAACCTAAATCTACCCTCTTCCAGTTTGAAACCATTATCCTGTGTCTTATCACTACATGCCCTTGTAAAAAGCCCCTCCCCAGTTTTCCTGTAGCCCCTTCAGGTACTGGAAGGCCGCTATAAGGTCTCCCTGGAGCCTTCTGTTCTCCAGAGTGAACAGCCCCAACTCTTTCAGCCTGTCTTCATAGGAGAGGTGCTCCAGCCCTCTGATCATCTTTGTGGCCCTTCATGGAGAAGGGAGTACGTTTTCCACAAGTCATATGTTCAAATACATGCCCTCCTCTGGACTCACTCCACCAGTCCAGATGATATACAGATGAAAACAAATGGCCAACTATACTCAGATGAACTGCTGATCTATATTCAATGCTTCATCATTAGTACATGCCTGGTTTTATAGTCCGTGTTGTGGCACCATGGTTTCTATTGACAGCAATGCGTATTATATATTTTTATATAAAATGTATATGCTGAACTAGTTCTTTAGGCTTCTACAGTCCACAAAGAACATGAGTCAACTTCAGAGAGTCGCAAAAGATTATAGTTTCATTTTTATATAACAAAGACAAAATGAAAACCAACATGAAACAAAATCCATGGTCCTAGAGCAACACTAACGCATGACTAGGCTACAATATAGAGACTTTGCTAAGTTACTCTTTAAAAAAACAGCAATAGACATTAAGTTCTTGCATTATAATTTGGAAAGGATGTTTCTGCTTCTCAGAAAAAGGAAATCAGGAATGTATGCAAAATTTGGACATTCTTATTTTGCTACTGATTCAACATGTTCCTATTTAACCACGATTTTGAAACAGAAATTATCTATTTGGGAAATAAAATCTAAACAAGAAGGGAAACTGAGGCATAACATTTCTGTTTTTTCTTTAACATAAAAATCACAGGGGAAAATTGCACGTCCTTCTCCAGAAGGCTGGTGTGGCAATCAGAAACAATTAATCCATGCCAATGCCAGTTTGTAACCACCAGGTGCAACCCTTCCATGAGGAATAATGTGAATTTTGAACACAGAGCTGCCAGGCACATGCTCTACTGCTACAGACCAGAGAACTTGCTTTTCTTCTGTAGTATCTGCACAGGATGTGCTCATGCCTCCCCTCCCCCAAATGCTCCCTACTTGGCATATGACCAACAGAGACAGTGCTTTCATTTTACCCAGAGATGCAATTTAAAACCTCAAAGAGTTGAGGGGAAAGAGGAAATGTAAGAGGAAATAAAAGATTTGAACTCTTATTTTCTAGCAAATAACCTCTTTCATTCTCTTATTGAAAGCATACAGGTATACTCTGACACTACAAATGACTAAACATTTCATTAACAGGCTGTTATGCCAAAAGAAACTGCCGACACTCTGCTGAGTGCTGCATCAATCCTCAAGGTTTCTGAGATGACAGAATGCCTAATTAAGATATGAACAGAGCTTCATGTGGCCTAGTATCAGACTGGGATGAAAAATACTTCTGCAAAATGTCCCCTTGTGAGGATTGCAGCACACTCTACCACAGCCAGGTCAATGTCAGTGACATTTTGGTTCAGTTCAAGTCTTCATACAGTCCATTATGAATGAAAGCAACAGCTGAACAAAGGACTTGACTCTGACCCTTCAGCAATGGCCACAAATGCATTGATTTTGTAAAACATGCAGAACTGTGGCCACAAAAAGAAACGATGCTTAGATATGGCAGGGGTGGGGAAAAAAAAAA